TTAATTAATTTTAATTAATGTCAAATTAATCATTTAATTAAGTTAATCATCATAATTAGTTAATTTAAATCCTTAATTTCCTTTAATATTAATCAAAGTCAAAATTATCTTTCTTCATTTAAATTTCACTCAAAAGTTTTATGATTAAGCAATTTAGTCCATAGGTATCAACTCTTTTCAAATTAGTCTTTCATGTTTTGAGTTTTATCAAATCAGTCCTCCCTATTTCAAATTTAATCAAATTAGTCCCTTTAATTTTCATTTGTGTTTATTGTGCATGCATGTTCTTAATGTTGTCCATTTAGTAAAAAAAAAAAAAAAGTTTCAATTTGGTTTATCTTTTTTAAGTTTGCCTATTAAGACTTAAACATAATGAATAAGTTGAATCAAAACCCCAATTTTAAAGTATGCAACTGTATTTAAGCGGAGGATTGTGAGGTGCGTGTATGCCCTTCCTCACTCCCAACTGAACCCTTGAACCCCGATTTCTACGCAGACCAATTTTAGGTGACTTGTCCCACCTTATAATTTGGATGAGTGGTGACTCCCCTTCTTTTATATCTTTACGCTTAATTTTTCATTATTTTGAAATCTTACGTGGTCGTCAACAGATTGGTGACTCCACTGGGGATATAACCCAAAATCTCTGGTTTCCATGTTTTCGGCTCACAAGGGTAGAGCTAATATTTTAATCTTGGGGAATTTTCAACCTTTGATTTTTTTTCTATGTTTGTTGAGTTTTTGTGAGTCTTTGTTATTTATTGTATGTGCTTGTCACGTGTTGCTGGTTGTTTGTTTGCTCATCGTTTTAGTGGTTGCTTTGAGTGTTTTGTCTTCGAGTAATTACCTTGCTACATCTTGACATGCATCATACCTTGCTTACATGTTCATGCATCATATCATCTCACATGCTGATTCATCATTGATGTAACATGCTTATTGATCATGCATCATGCTTACATGCCTACTTGCTTGTGTATGGATTAATGTAGTTTGTACCGTACCGTACTGGCTGTACGGTTTTGGGGGTTAGTCGAAACGGAATAAGTTAAAATTTTGTTTCG